CATATAATCAGCAATCAGTATTGTGGTACTGAAACAAGCGAAACTGTTAGCCCACTATGGTAACTCAGCTGAAAAGACCCGAATCCAGAACGCATAAAATAAAGCTAGAGGAATTGCAGTGTGCAGGGAATGAAAGTCCCTGGCAGAGGGAAGCAATATTACATGTACCATTGGGGTTGACACAGTAGAACACATTTAAATGTAAGCTAAATTAGATTTGAGACCTGAATTTAAGTTAAAGTCATAAAAGGTAGCACTGCTGGTTTGTTACAGACCTCCAGGGCAGGTTGAGAAGAAAATGTTTTTCCCCATGTAGGAAGCTTATAAAAAAAAGTGCCAGAATAAATCAGTAGGAAGAATCATTATGGATTTAAAAAAAAAAAAAAAAAAAAAAGAAAAAGCCTAAAAAAGGCCACATTCTTGGAGTTAGTAATAAACTGTTTTTCCTTACAGTTTATTTGGCTGTCAGCAGAGTCAAAAATCAAGTCCTTGGAAATAAGGCACATGAGAAGTTAGGTGGCACACAGAACCGCGCGAGTACCTGAGCAAAGGGATGACGGTATCAAGGAACGCGGCGCGGCTGGAGATGCCCGGGGCACAGACAGACTGCCTCTGTGCCATCGGCGGGGGGCTCCGTAACCACCCGGAGATTACAGACACACACACATCCCCCCAGGCACTCACCTGGCTGCCAGCACAGGTAATGCCTGCGATGAAGGGCAATATATATACAGAGTGCTAAAAAAATCCTAATTCTAAAGGAACATACAGTGTTTACGGACTATTGTCAGGACATCCGTGATACATAGCATAAGTCAGCTGACGTGACAGCGTAACTTAAGCCAGTAACATGTGGAATTCATCTTGAAACTTAACCAGCTACAAAATTGGTACCAAGTGCCAATATGCCTCAGTAGAGCCAAGACAAGCAGTATCAGCAATAAAGCTGAAGGATTTTAAATAGATCAAGGATGAGGACTGAGAAGACTTAGAAACAAGCAGTAACAAGTAAACTTTAATTGCTTAACTGATGACAAGCTGCAATGAATACTTTAATTAACAATTAAGGTTTTAATGCAGGCACAGTGTCAAAGGTATGAGATATTAATCACTCAAGCGTTGTAAAAGAATGGCAATGGATAGCGTAAAAAGTGTAAAAGGCAAAGTTTGGAGTGGACACTGCTGTTGTGGTTTAACCCGGCAGGCAGCTAAGCACCACGCAGCCATGTGCTCCCTCCCTCCCAGTGGGATGGGGGAGAAAGGTAAAACTCATGGGTTGAAATAAAGACAATTTAATAGGACAGAAAAGAAAGGGAAAATAATAATAATGATAAAAGAATATACAAGTGATGCACAATGCAATTGCTCACCACCTGCTGACGATGCACAGCCAGTTCCCGAGCAGCAGACCCACCCCCCAGCCAGCTTTTCCCCCAGTTTCTATATGAGCATGATGTTGTATGGTATGGAATATCCCTTGGGTCAGTCGGGGTCAGCTGCCTGGCGATGTCCCCTCCCAACTTCTTGTGTCCCCTCCCAACTTCTTGTGCTCCCCCCCAGCCTGCTCGCTGCTGGGGCGCAAGGTAGAAAAGGCCTTGGCTCTGTGCAAGCACTGCTCAGCAGTAACGAAAACACCCCTGTGTTATCAACATTATTCTCATCCTAAATCCAAAACACAGCACTATACCAACTACTAGAAAGAAAATTAACTCTGCCCCAGCCAAAACCAGGACAACTGTGGAAATAACAACATCTCACAATTCTTACCATTAGTTTGTTGGTTTTGGAGATCTACTGAAAGCACAGTTGTGCTTTAATTATAACAACGTTCTTTCCCCAGATACTGCAATAGTCCTAAACAGCACAAGTCTTTACCATGCTTGCACATAATATTAGATTGGTTTTTCAGAGTACAGGTAGCAATATTCACTTGAAGCAGCGATACTGCACCGCTGGCATCCCAGGCTTCGGTCACAGCACACAGGAGCAAAGCTGCTCAGGGCAGCGCTGGCGTGCCACGTTACGCAGCACTTGTGCACAGCCTGAAGCACCCGAGAGCTGGAGATGGGGAGTAAAACTAACCTGAAAGGGTAAAAAAAGGCAGAAAGCCGAAGGAAGGAAAAACAGCAGAATGGAAAAAGCAGTCTAAAGAAGAATAGGGAGAGCAGCTGTTGAAAATTTGGTGGGGAAGGGGTTGGGGGGGGGAAGACTGGTCAGGAATAACTTTGAAAGTGTTTATGAAGGGCTGAGGCCAAACAGTCCAGTTAATTCAGGTGGTGAATATTGGGGAAAGTACTTTAAAGAACTACAGCTGTAAAATTTCAAATAAGAAAGGTTGTGAACCCTTAAGCAAACTTGTTAAAAAGGATACTGCAGAAGTTGGCAAAAAAAATAACATTCAGGGAGACAGGATATTCACATTTTTCAATGCAACCCAGGATTTTGCATTTCTAGCTCTGTTCTGTGACTAGAAATTATTTTTCTATCGCTTCTTATAATCTGCTTCAGATTTACACATGTAGAGAACCCTGCCACCAGAGTTTTACTGCAGGACAACTCCTTCAGTGCTTCACCTGCTCCAGAACTCTTCAGCTTTGCAGCTCTCAACTACGCTCAGGTGTGTCTGTTAGTGACAGCTGTGCCTTGCTCTGCATTGCAAGATTGGAGAGGGAACAAGGATGGGAAGATTGATCTTAATTTAAAAAGCAAACAAAAACCCTACAAGAGTTAAGTATCTCAATCATGCTGTTTGTTCAGCCTAGCTGCTTTGCTTACAACACTACGATGCTACCTACTGATAACTGTATTTACTGGGTTTGTGTAAGCTGATGGTGACAATTAAGATAAGTTGAGTAAATAACTATACTAATGACAAGAATTTAGAAATCTGTAGTTATATGAGAAGCTACCTGTATGTAATCTCTCTGAATTATGGGGGGAAAGAAAAGAGGGGGGAAAAAAGAAAAGGAGGAGAGCAAAAGAAACAAAAGAGCCACAATCCATGTAGAGGTACCTCTCTCTGGTTAGACTTCCAAGGAGGCAAGCCTTCATACCAGTTTCTCTTTTCTTTCTGCGGGACAATACTTTGAAGTCACTGACGACTTCTGTTTATCAAAATGCCACGTGAAACAAAGGCTAAAAGTC